ATAATTGTAAATGTGAACAGAGCGTCGTATGGAAGAATGACGAGATCGAACGCAATGGACCAATCCGGATCACCGGATTCGTTAACCGATCATATAGAGACGTTGACATCTTTGGAAAATGGTTATGTAAAACATAAAGAAGAATCTACCGCCTCACCGCGATCTTACTTATCAATGCCATCATGCAAACAATTTCCTAGTATGCGCACCGTAGAACCACTATCAAGAGTATTGGAACCTGTCATGGTAATTTTTGAAAAGACGAACGACCGCTAACATTGGTGTAAATTCTTAGCATATTTTAATATTAATAAAAAGCATGTACTTTAGGTCAGACATTTAGACATTGATTCGCCGGAATTAGTGCGTCACGATAGAGACGATAATATCGACGACACATTCCTTGCAAGAACGTCGAGTGCTTCGAAGGATCCTGGAGCTATAGGACCGATCGTTTGGAGTCTTAACAAGCAAATGTTCTCTACAGAAGGTAATAAATATATCAATCCATTGTTAAAATCTTAAACTATAATAAATATATTACTCCGATTGTTTGAAGTCTTAAGCAAATGTTTCCTACAGAAGACAAATATATTCTTCTTTAACATTGTATTTAATGTTAACATTTATGTATTATTATGTAAAAATGTTCGACAACATGAAAACTCTTCTTGATATCGATTACGAACGAATAAATAAATAAATAAGTCTTGTACAAATTATTTTGATCTAAATATATGTTATCTCAACTAATTCGTTCGCAATCGACTATTTCAAGATGTAAGAAATATTCATTTTTTCACACAATCTCTCGAAAGATTCAACTTGTTTAAAGGTAACGGTACGTCCGAAACGGATGTCGATGGAGTGTATCGTCTACCATCCGGACCCGTGGGTCGCGCCAGAAGGAGACTCCACGAGTTGCTCGAGGACTCCTTCAGTCTCTTCGGAAGTAGAGACATCAAAATCAAAGAGACACAACGACCGCCGCCGATCTCCGTTGCACGAGGAGAAGATACACTCGCGATCTTTTCGGAGACCAAAGGCAAATCCACCCATGTCAGGTACATATCCTTCTTCTTCTTTTTCTTCTTCTTTTAACAGATAATTATTGTTATTAAAGTACAAAATTGCTAAATTATTATTAACAATATGTAATTCCTGTTTATTTTTAGACGAGAAGTAAATGTAACAAGATACTTATAATGAAAAATTGCCTATCTTTTATTATTATTTATACACTACTTGCGGATTAAAATAAAAATTAAATTATTAAAATAAATCAAATTGTTCAAATAATAAGGATAATCTGTTATGTATGTAGCCCAATAATAACGCCAACAATGGAAATGAAGACACGACCTCGTACATCATTACCACGTAGAGTTCTGGATGAGGATATCCCGGAAACTGGCCAAGCTGAATCAATCCAGTCTCGCGGTACCTGGGGTTCAAGGCCACTCAGCGCGGGGCCGTTCCACAGACCGAACTTGCCGGAAGTGGACACCAGGCGTATATTGGCGGACAGCAGACTTCCACCGGAAGATCCCGCGGTACCTTTAATCGCGTCGATCAAAAAGGAACTTGAAAAATTCTCGCCTTAGTAGAATCTAGTAGACAAGTAGGATGCAATATTAGCTTAAATTCTCGCAAAGTGATATACTAATCTTAAGTCGAAAAACAGTGTATATATTCGATCAAACTTTTTCACAAAATTTTATAACTTGACGTCGAAGTTTTCTATTATTCGGATTATAATATAGCAAACATTTTACACGTATCATAAATATTATAAGAAACAAAAAGTAAATCATGCCAGCAATTTCGTTGTTATAAATTGAAATTGTGCCACCGAATTTAACTTATTAATCAGTCACTGTACATATCATTGAACGATTACATATATAGAATACAAATGCAATACAATCATAAAAGTTTGACTGATTAAATTATAAAAACATTAAGATAAATTCTTGTGACTGATTCATACATCATAGAAATACAGCTGTAACTTAATTATATAAAAATGCAATAAACTTATATAACATATGTACGATCTAATATGCGTGACAAATTAAGCTATTTTAATTATTAAGCTGTTTTATTAAATTATTTTACAAAACCATATAAAAAATATATATACAAAGTAAAACAAGGACAAATATAACATCAGAAGTCGCTTTCTCAAGCGAGTTTCATCACTTCCACGAAACGATCGTTGTTACAAAAATCTTTATACGTATGTACATGTTGGAGCTTCAAGTCAGTATATTTATTTGTAAAAAATTGTATGTATTCCAGATGAGTAGGATCAACCTCCACAAAGAGACATCCACCGGGTTTTAATACTTTGGCAGCGTATTTTAAGAGCGGTTTAATCACTTTCAGTCCATCGTCGCCACCATCCAATGCTCTGAGATCCTCGTAACTGCATAACATATATATCATTAATTACTTGAATATTTCTAATTCAAAGTTTGCGATCAAGCTTTATTACATCCTTATCTCAGGCTGTAGTCCCTGTATCTTCTTTGTTGGCACGTACGGCGGATTACTGACCACAAAGTCGAACTGTCTCGAATTCAAACTCATGTCACTGGCATCATGTAAACTATCTAAAACTTCGATACTTGCATCCGATTTTAGAGTTGCATGTATCACCGCAACTTGCTCGGTTAAATTCAATTTACTCCGATTTATCGTCGTCAAATCGCAGGCGTGCGGACTCGCGTCTATTGCTGTGCATTTTATCTAAAGAGATACACATTATTTCTTACATTAATTGTCAATTCGTTGTCAGAATATAAAAGTCAATAAAATTATACTTTTTTACAAGCGTGAGCGAGAGCCAGTGATATTGCGCCCGAGCCGCAACCGATTTCCAGGACTTCGTAACTGTCAGCTCGCAATGAACTTAGTCTTTTCAACACGAAGTCCACCAATATTTCCGTTTCCGGACGAGGAATGAAAATCGGTGGCACGAGCTTCACGGTAATATCCCGAAAATCCCATTCGCCGATAATGTATTGAACTGGCATCCTGCAAGGACTTGGCGTTCATAAGCGAACGCAAACGACTTTGCGCAGTGTAATCCAGTTTGGTAGACTACAGAGGCTTCTTTCAAGAGCCCTTCTTACCTAGACAACCGACATTCGCATAACGACTCCAGTTTCTCGATCTGGCTCGCGTTGAGAGGATCATTTCTAACGTTCAAGATATCTATTATCTGCAAATAATAAAAAAATATTAGAGTAATTTATCATTTGAATTTGGTGACTAGTAATTCTACCAGAGGTAAACCTTGATACTTTTTTTATAGTCCTTTTATACAAAATATATTTGTACTAGCTTACTATAATATTATACTATACATTGTATATATTTTCTATCTCAATCCAATAAGCGTATAAAAAAGATAATCGCGTTTGCGTTGAAAAAAATACGCGCGATGCGGAATGAATTTTATTATCAATGATCGTCATTTGTTGAATATCCACCAATATGTCATCATCAATGACGAATGAAAAAATAGCAATATCGCTAATACCTTCTTGGTCCCTATAATGTGTGCTACTATGTGTTCTATTGATTCCACCGGCTCCGGTATGCCTTCGCTCTCGAATCGGTGACTCCATTGATCGATAACGTCGCCGATCGTACATTCACGTGTATTTGAAGCAACCAAATGTCGCGCTGGAAGTTTCAACGTGACATTCTTGAAGCTGTTACTCGTTAAACATTGCAGATAAGTAAATATTGCCGGATTATTGCAGATCGTACGTGACCTCAAAATGTTACGACACCACATGATGCTTTATTAGATGGAATGCAGCGTGAAAAGCAGATTTAACTCGTTATGCTGTGCAATCAGCTGATGAACTATGATCAAGCTTGTTGTAAATTATACATTAGAAACTGCTGCCATCTAGGGCGGGATAAAGTTGAACACTCATCGATAATAAACAAAAACAATAGATGAAAGAATAAGATAGTTTAAAAGAATTGAAGCAAGATACTCCAGATATAGCAAATCAATAGAAGTAATCCAAATTATTTTTCCATATGTAAAAAGTAATATTTTTATAATGATGTTATTAATATAGAATAGTTTTATGTAGTTCTTTGCATTTCTCTTTATCTTATTAATATATATATATATATATCTCTTGGAGCTAATTATATAATTATACTATTAATTAATTAATCATATTATCATTTTTGTATATTTAATAAGATTAAGTTGTAACACCATGTTATATCGATTACAGTTAGGAAACTCTGTTTTTTTCTTTTCATCAAACGTCATCAAGCATTGCTGTGGATTGTGTCTTCCGCCGACTGATGGTGAAATCATTTTCTTTCCCCGCGGCAATCCAGAAAGCGGCGACCGGGCCGGGAAGTCAAAGACCTGATTTAGAAGATGCCGCTAAAGCCGTGCTGCGCCGGTGGATCGAAAGGTCTAAAAAGCGCGCACGCATGCGCCGATGCTACAGTAGCCGTCTGGAAAAGAAGGGTGCTGGCTAACAGGCCGTTGTCTGGCCGAAGGCGCTGGCAGTCGCCACCGGCCCCGCTCCCAATTCATGACTGCCATGACAGTCCTCCTCCGTGTCGCAGCGAGTGCGAGACCGAATTGCGTGTAACGCCGTGTAACGCCGTTTAAAGAGCGCCGCGGAGAACCTTCTACTACGACTGATGCACGTACTCGCGTCGCAGCGCATTGCACCGCGGAGGAGGTCGACCAGGAGATCCGATCTCGGCTGGGCCGTCACGGTGTTGGAGCCGTAGAGCGAGCCAGCCCTCGCGTCCGCTGCCAGGTCGTTTACCAGGCGCGGCCTTCCCGGGTGCGCCGATCTCGTCGTAGGGTCGTAGCGCTCGTGCGCGCGTCCTTTGCCAGCACGCGTCGTGGTGACTCGTGCGAATGGCGGGTGTTGTGGTGGCGGTGCCGTTGATGTGACGCGTGTCTCGTGCCGCACGCTCGGCTTGCCCGCTCGCTCGCCGCTGTCAGTCTCGCAGCACGAGGAACGCCCGCGATAGGATACGCGTCACCGCTCCGCAACTCCAGGCAGCTACGCTTCATCGTTCTCCGGTTCTGGGTCTTCGGTCGACCGATGCGTCCCATCGAATCCTGTAGGTAGGGCATCTTCGTCGATTAGAATTTTCCTGTCTCCGAGTGGCCGCAAGGATATTCGCACGCGCTCGTAGCGAGGTATAAAGCTCGACGAGTTCGCGCGATCGATCGCGACGAGGCGGTCGAGGTGTTCCGAGCAGAGCTCGCTGAAAAGGTCGCATACTTCGCCGGTATTACGTTTTAGCCTTTAGCCAAAGACCCCTCGATCAAGTGTCAAGCCTCCAAATATTTTGAATTTCCACAGTTGTCATTTGCAGCGAGACACTTCAGATTTTCAATGTGATTCGTTGTCGCAAGATCTTCCATCTCCTTTCTCGTCAAAGTTTCTCGATAACAATAAATACTTTCGGTGCACTCTTTGCGACGCGTACTCGGTGTATATACGCGCGAATCGGAGCATCGATCACCGTTGGGATTTTCAGAACGGCTCGTCGAGGCGACACCGCGTGCTCCGAAAAATTCACCGGCTCGCCGTGCGTGTTCGTGCGGCGAGTAATCGATCGGCACGCCTGTAGATTCGCCGGCGTAGACCGATGAGATTTTCCGAGACGCCCTTGAAGAGCAAGGAACGCGAAGTAAGGTGTGGTGGAAAGCGAGCGTGTGTCATTATTCGCGAACAACGCCGGTTCTACGAACGTCATGCGTAAGAATAGAGAGTACGATATATTACGTCCTTCGCGTGGATATTTTTTTTTTTTTTTGGCCACAGATCTGTCATTTCACCACGCGAGCGTGATAGTTCAATGATGTAAGACCGACGTTTGCATAATGCACTTCCGCGTCGCTCCGATTACATTTAAATTATCTCTTCCCCCGACTAGTGTGTGTATGTACCATGTAGGAACGTCCAATTAAGCCTCTAGAGTGTGTGCGGTTTCGTCGTTAGCAGCGGTTAATTGTCGCCTTTCTAATTTTCTACGCTCGCGTAGATCTCGCGAGGCGCCGTTCGCGATTCCGTAATTGTTTTCCGGAGGCAATGCAAAATAAGCGAGCAACGATTCGCGGTGCGAATGATCGCGTCTCGCTCTTGCGTATGGAAAAAGTCGCAGTCCCTTCCAATTGAGAATCCCAAATTAAATCGATCGACCGCTCGCTCATCGGGTCCGTTTTCACGCAATGAAGAACGCGCGTGTCGATAATCGTCGAGGTAATCGGCTCGATAATACATAGCTTCGGCAACTTTCTTTATTTCGCTGACTCGCGCAGCCGGCGTCACGCGACGACAAGAGAACGTGAGGGAAGTGCATTCGCGCGCGTTTCGCGAGCACGCTGCTTGCCTCGGCAAGGAAGGCGAACGAATGAAAAACCCCTTCGCTTCGCGGCGAGTCAACCGAATGCGGGGTACCAAACAACGCTCGCATTATCGTCGTTTCTTCTGCCCGCGCCGTTCCGTCGCCCCGTTTCCGCATACTTCGCGATATCGAGTCATATGCCGGAAGCGATATCCGGCCACGAAGAAAAGCGTTTCGGTTCACGCCCTTGCGTATCTCATCCAAGCGACCGATCTGGCCCTCGATCCGGCGCTAATCGCGTGAGGGGAGTCAGAGGGGACAGAGGGGGAAGAAATTTGAGATCATCTCGCGGAGATCCCGGAAGCGCGCGTTCCACGAATTCCTTCGCCTTACTTCGCGCCGAGCGCATCGCGGAGGCGAGCGCTGCACTCCGCGTGCCAATCTCGATCGCGATCGATCAAACCGACCTCCGATCGAACCTCCGCCGAGTACGCATTCGTTAGCGATGTATCTCGCGTCCACGACTAATAACGTTTCCTTGAATGAAATTCTAGTGGACGAGGATCCCGACGAGGGCGACTCGATGAACGCCGCGCAATTGCCGGTCGATAGGAATCGCACCGGTGCGTTGCGGGACGCCAAACCGTTGTTGGGACGAGTTGGGAGAGCCTTCTTCGGACGAACGACGCGGTCCGCTCCGGGACGAATTGTGACAGACGGTCACTTCCCGTATCGCCGTGGGCGTCGCGACGGCAGTGACGTAGCGATGCGCGCGAGTCGCGGCGAAAACTCGCCGGCTATTTTGACGTACGGCGCTGCGTGATCACGGTGATACATACGACACACACATACACACATACACACACACACACACACACACACACACACACGTATATATGCTACGAGGTGCGAGAAATCGAGACTGTCCGCGATTGCGCCGCTTAGGGCCGCACGAGCCGTCGAGCCATCGAGAAACGAGATATCGTATGTTATCTCTTTCTCGCGTTCGTGTACTTGGGACGTTTAGCGAGTGAAGAAGATGTTTAACTTTATGAAGAAGACCGTGGAGAAGGACGACAAGCGGAAGCGCGAGAAGAAGGAGGGGAAGAATGTCAAGAAGCGCGATCGCAGCAGCATGTCCGCGGAGGAGCTTCTGCGATTAGACGAGGTAAAGGCGTGGATGTCACAAGATCTTTTGTTGAGAAACATTTCTTTACTTTTCTGTGGTCTTCTTCCTTTCTTTTTACAAATCGCCAAGAAGCCAAAACGAGTTATTAGGAATTGTGTTATTTGTTTCGATTCAGCGTGCTTTGCCAGTTGATTGATTTTCGTATTACGTTTGTAATATATGTGAGTTTAGTTATCGTATTCTCCGATGACAAGGTGGGTGTACACTGATACTGCTTCTGAATTCATGAATTTGTGAGAGGTTTCCGATATCTCGTTTGGCTTACCTTTCTTATCTAAACAGAGCTGTCGATATCACGAGGTGATACGACTTTTCAAATGCTTTTTTCAAACTAATATAATAATAAACTGAGCATTTTAAAAATAAGTATTGTTGTCAAGTGTAATGACGAAACTATGAAGAATCTGATCGAGCATAAAAGAAGATAAAGAGAAAATAAAGAGAAGATTTTTAGATAGAAAAGAATAAAAAAATACGATAAGATTTCGTCTTGAAGAGCTGTTTTCTTTTAAAGCTTTTAAATTCAATATTATCATTAGTTGGATATAGATGATAAGAAGCGCTGGCCACGTATCTATTTGATGCACACATTCATTGTACATACAAAATAAAAATTACAAAATTGTTCTGTAACATGGACAACATGTCGTCACAATCGTATTGCCCAAAGAGTAAAAGGAAACTCTTAAGAAAATTCATTGAAGGATTCTTCAGGGTATACATTTCCGATGTCAGTGACTCGAAGAGATTTCTGAAAAAAGGAATTTAGCATTCTTATGCGCTTCGTTGCAGGTCCGTAGATCACTGAAGATCCCCGGTCGTCGAAAGGAGAAAGAAAAGTTACCGAGTGGTATCACCGCGGATTACAGCGCGTCTTTTTTCGCGCATCTCGACCGCGATCTTCTGGACGCCACGCAGAACGCGGGATCGGGTCCAGGCTCGACGATCAGTGCCGGTGCCAGCAGTTGGGCCACTAGAACGCCCGATGGCCTGATGCAGAGCGATTCATCGGAGGCGTCTCTCACATCTCTGACGACTACCACGACGACGTCGTCGACGACGACCAGTCATGCCGGTGGTCAGGCCGGTGGCAAGTGTCTACCACCCTTGCCGCCAAAACCACCCAAACGAGGGATCCTCAAAGGACCACGATTAAGCGTCAATAGCGCGAACGTCCTCTCGGAAGAAAATGTGTTACCAAACGGCACGGAAACCAGTTACCAGGAGGCCAGCAATCTGCTGGTGAGAAACACCCTTCAAAACGAGGTGATCGCTTATCAAAATGTGCCGGCGCATCTCAACAACGTCCTGAAGGACGACTGCAGCGAGGAGGAAACGGTATGCCAAACCGCGTGGCAGATCTCCATACAACAACAGACAATTCAGCAACAATATCAGCAGCAGCAACAGCAGCATCATCATCATCATCAAATCGACTCCAAATTGCTTCAGGTTAGATAATGTTCCGCTTTCTCTTCCGCGCATCGGCAGCGGCGAAACCCGATTATTACGATCATTTTCGAAATGCATAATGAGACGCCGATGGGTTTGTTTAAAATTTGACGTAAATCAATGATAGTGGAAGATTCTCTTGGAATGGATCATGATCAAAACAAGAAAAAAAACAAATTATGTCTTAACTTTTATATAACAATTTTTCTGAACGATCGTAAAATGTATTTTTGCAAATTTCTTGATAAATATGTTTCTTAAATTTTCTGTATCATTTTTATGAATACAACTTTCATTCAGTAATTATACGATTTAAATTTTGATAAGGTATTCATGATTCAGTAATAACTAATTCTACATTTGTGTGTATCTCTAATAACTCTCTCTCTCTAATAAATATAAATCGAAAATATAAATAATAAGAAAATAATAAATTTAATTTATTTAATAAATAAATAATAAAAAATTGACGCGCGTGATCTCGAAGTAATCTCCCTATTATTCAGGTCGTTACCAGCGCTAGTCCATCCGCGGATTCTTTGACGGATACGACAAACTCCAGTTTTGCGACGCCACCGTTCAGCTTGTCGCCTGTCGGCGAATCCCAGGGTTTCTCAAGGTGGCGATCATCGGTCTCCTTCGAGGAGCAGGGAATCGAACTGCAACTTCCGGAAATCGTGCCGCTTGAGTTACCCGAACCTAGAGAACTCACTATTCAGCGACAACCACCGCCGCGAAATGATTTCGGCTTTTCGCTTCGTCGCGCCGTGATCGTTGAGCGAACGGCGAACGGCGTCACGCAGATGAGACCGGTAATTTTCGCTGAACCTGGAGCTCTGGTGCAACACAACAACGACACGGGTCTGTTGCCCGGTGATAGACTGATCGAGGTCAATGGGATC